ATACCCGCCCTTAATGATACAACATTTTGATCTAATTTTTCATTAAATGAAATTATACCCATATTTACTTAAAATTGGCAAAATTTGGGTGTGGTCACCAATAAATTTTTCTTCACCTTTGGATTGCCTTCGCGGCGCTTAGGGGGCGCCGGATCTCAGTCTCCCCCCCTAGGGAGAGTCATATCGCTACGGCCCTGCCTAAACGCCCCCAATACAATCTAATCTGGAGATTTATTTTTTATTTCCGAAGTCCTAAACCCATTATCTCTGCTATGTCGCCATGGTATTGTTTGGAAAAGAGCTTCGTTGACCCTGTGACTTCCTGTTTTTGTCACCTGGTGTGGCCGACGTGAAGTGGAATCCGAAGACTATGCTAAGGATTTGCGATTGCTTGACATACATGAAATAATTAGAGGAAGGACAGTTCGCAAGTGACCGAATTCGAACGAGATATAATATTTAAGTAAGGGGTGGCTACGTTGCTCTTCGAAGAATAAGGAAAATCAAAGAAGAGTATTTCGAGCAAATGTATTTAATAGTATCTTAGATCCCTTAGAAAGTTCTGTCCCGTAGAGCGGTAAGGTTGTGTATAGCAAAAGGCTGAAAATTAGTAAAAATGTAACTGATAATGTCTTTATTGAAATCCCAAAATTCCCAAAAAATCTATCTTGGGGAAAATTCGCTATCTGGGAAAAACTGGCCCCATATTGAAATATTCGAATTTTAAGCATAGCGAGTGAACCGAGCGCCCGATTTTATTTATTTTGGTCAACTTTTCTGAAAATGAGCCCCTTTTTTTGTCTATTTTGTCTGCTTTCTTTTTGTCTTTGATCTTTGCTTGCTTATGTGTCTTGTTTATCTATTGTATGTTCTCTGTTTCGTTTTCTTCTCTAGCATTTTGTGTCTTTGCTAGTCGTTTGTCGTTGTGTCTATGACTGGTATGTTAGTCCATTTGCTCATTTTTGTTGCAGTCTAAGATTAATCTCTAGGTCGCCATACTCCAATCTTATATGATCTCGGATTTACCTCCCATGGTCCAGACTGCATACTTCCCTGACGTGTTGCCCGTCTGATTCTTTCAGGTTGAAACTTAGGATGTCCTGTTTGAAGTTTCTGTGGCCTGCTAACAGCTGTGTAGCTTTGAAACTAAGCTGAAGGATGTCCGTCCATCCCTACTTCTTGGCAGTGTTTGTGCAACTCTCTGCTCTTATCTTTCTCAACCTATATCCTTTGCCATTGTGTTATAAATTAGTGCTCTCGTTCCTTCTTTATTGTGTCTCTGTTTGTGTGTAGATGGGTCTGCAGGTTCCTGTCTGTTCCTGGACTTTGTAGGGCAATCTTGGCTAGCCTGTCTTCTGCTTTGTTCCCCGGCTTATTTCCATATAAATCCGACCCCTCTGCCTTGTTCTAGGGACTCTTACGCTATAGCTTCAAGACTTGCACTGTCAGCTTGTCTTTTATTTTATGTTTCATAATTTGCTCTTTCGTTTGTACTCTGTCCGTTAACACTTTCATGTGGTCAACCCTTCAAGATTTGCCATCATTTCTGCTCTGTCTATGTTTGTGTTGTCTGGTGCTCTCTTTGTGCGCTGTTCTATTCTCTCCCCAATTGCGATATGTACGCCAATGCCCTCCTTCCTGTTTTTGTCTATAGTCTCGGTTAACCAGTGAAGCGCTTCAACCGTTCCCGTCATATCTCTGGAGCCGTACTGTCTTTGAATGGGCTCTTTCACTAATTTTTGAAATTGGCATATTTGGATAAAGCAACTAAAAACAGAATTTTCTGTATTTTTACTTTTGAAAAATTCATAGTCCTTCTTGAGAAAACAGAAAAAAAAGAAATACCTCCAAATAAAAACCCAGAATTTATTTCTATGACGTCGCAGCTTGCTATTTGACCGTGTTGCCACTAATTGTCAACATTGAAAATTTGTAATAGATTTAATTCTGAAATGTTCGCAAAATTTCATGAAAAGTAGTTAAATTAATTAGTTATGGATTCAAGATTTTATAACATTTTTATTGAAATTATACTTAAACACAATTTAATATAATTTTCTATGTCTAGTTTTATTTATTTATTTTACGTTGCACTACATTTAGTCACCACCGACAACAGCGCATTCGAACCTTTACCTGCATTTACTACAGGATAAATACAGCAGAGGCGGACAGCTGTTTGCAACAACAAGCGAAATGAAAAATATTTATGCGACGTCGGCAAATCGGCGCGTTTTTAAATAATTCAAATTTTGGTAGTTTAAAATGCCTGTAAAAAACTTATTTAACCTTGTAGAACATTTTTTTTTGGTATATGTGCCTAAAATAGTCCCTCCTTTGGGATTTTATACCTAAATTACGTATTTAAATTTTAGTGAAAGAGCCCATTATATTGCCCGTTCTCTCCGGGGTTCGTATTCTTGTAACCGGGGAACAGGGTTTTCAAGAGAACGATTCCTCTGTTTTAGTCGCCCATATTGTTATTTCCATAATACTGACAAAGACAGAGCCATCGTTCTCTTGAGAACGCTACGAGAATACGGGCCTAGGTGGAGTTGGAGTCTTTTATTAAGCATTTTGTCTCGTATCTTTCCCAACATTGGCCTTATGTCTGTATCTCACGCCGTGTGTTTTCGTTTATAGCATTTAAATAAATATTATTCTTTCTCGAGCACCAAAATTGATCTACAGTGTGTCCCGCTTAAGGACTGACCACCCTTCTAAAAGTTCCATTAAATTTTAAAAATTTATTGTGATCACCCTGTATCCTATTGGAACAAAAATTCGTACATTAGGGTTTTAGACCATTCTAAACAAGAATCTGCTATCAGATTTTTTCTAAAAAAATCCCTAATAGTACTTATTGAAATTTGAGCCTATAAATGTGGACACCCTGTAAACCAGTGCAGCCGTAGAAATAAAATTATGAGCCTAATAAGTGCCAAATTCGAGTAGCTACACGACAAAAAAAAAATTAATTGAATCGGTTGAAAAATAAAAATTTTAGAAGTGTGGTCAGTCCTTAAGCGGGACACACTGTATATTTATTAATTTAGTGTTTTGGCAGCCTAAATAAAGTAATTTGGTGCAAAAACGAACATAATCTGATGATCGGTTCAGTCGCTATGCTTAAAACTCGACAAATCCAAGATTGCGGTGTTTTTTTCAAAATGGCCGATTTTCCCAAAAATGGCACTATACTCAACATTTTCACCAATATTTAGCTTGTTATTTTAAATGTCCGGATCAATGTCTAATTATCCTGCATCATTATATGGTGCGGCAGGATCACATTTTTGCCTTTTTTTAGTTTTTTAAAATAAATTCAACCTGTGTCAGCTTTCCCTATTAGTCATAAGAGACTTTTTGCACCCCTCAAAATGACCGCAGTTTTTGGATCAGTTATGGTTACCTTTATCGACGATCGCGATTACAACAACCTTCAAAATCAGAAATTTTGCAACGCCAAACGTTTACATATTTCCGTTATTCTATTTTGCCTCTGGACTATGAACTGCGCCTGCGCCTTCGGATGTAAACCAATTTCATAACATTAAAATGATAATCCACACTTACTTTATCAGATGATTTTAATTAATTATTCATTAAAACGGGATAACATCTATTAAATTGCAGTTTTACCATAACCATAGGTATAGCTATAAGCCCAAGGTTATTCCTCCTTAAATAAGGCTGCTCGTTGTGGTTGATAAGTACAACGAACATTTTTTTGTCACTGCGCGTACTCAGTATAACGATAACCACAGCGGAATGGTAAAATAAGAGGTGCAAAATGTCTCTAATGCCTAAGAAGTGTGGTTATGATAAGATATACGTTTGAGACTTGAGCCTTTTTGAGCCTAATTGACGTAAAAAAAATAGTTTGACTTTAAAATTCCCAAAGGAAGAAACACCTCAAAACTAATATCAGTATGTAGAGTAGCACACGATTATAAAGGGACTCAATGTCGTCCCAAAGGTGAGATCGAAGGTGGACGTGGTACATCTTGACAGGCGAAAAGTTAATCACGGAAATAGATGGTTAGATCGGGACGATCTGGTATGAGAGGAAGGCAGTGTTACGAAATATCGTTGGTGACGAGAAGTCGGCAAGATAATTTACGGAGCGTGAGTATTTCGGAATTCTATACATTTTACGTGATTCCTGGGACTTCAGGATTGAGTATTTTTATACAAAAAGCACGTAGTTTGTAGTGAGTTGGTCAGTTAATGGAAGAATTGTTGTTTAAACTTAAGTAAAAGCGATAAGTGATCAATGAGTGAATTTTGTAAAATCAAATTGTCTCAATAAAATTTATTGTGAGTAAAGTGAGTTTTTGTGGAACTCCCGAAATCCGCTACAATGTTTTTGAATTGGTTGGTCGATAGCTTTTTCCACTTCCTGATGGAAAGGAACTTCACTAAGGTGAGTGAGTTTTTCAGGGATTTTATTCAAGACATCATCACCAGTGGGAGCTGATAGAAGTTGAATCTTTGAGAAGCTGAGTCCCATCTCTTAATGTTATACGGTACCTATTTTTAGAGGGATCATAGGTTGTTCTTGTGGCTGTTGCTGAAGAACGCTCTAGTGTTGTAAGAGGCTGCTAGATGCTTCAATTCGGTTGACTGCGTTGTCCACTATTCTTGTTTTTTTTGTACTTCAGCCTTTGCTTGAAGATGGGTTCGATTTTTGTGCGTCGAACTCGGGTCGTTTAGTCACATATTGTGTAGGTTTTCCTCTTCTGATCTATGACGTTCTAAATTTCTTTATTGTCCAATCGTGCGGTGGTTCCTTGAGATAAAGCCTGTTGATTCTTGGCAGGCTAACAGCATAGCTGTTTTACCCCGTTCGTCCATTTCAGAATCTAAAAGCTCATAAACATCTTTAATTCATACAAAACTTATATATAACTCCTCTTCTTCGACACCTCTATTTCCTGGGGTAAGTGGACAGAGAACATAATTAACATGAACAGTGTAAAAATAAAATTTTATTGCAGACGTTTTCCCTGGCCGGTCTTGGAGCTGGTATAACAGAAGCCATTCTAGTAAACCCCTTTGAAGTTATTAAGGTCACTCTGCAATCCAACCGGGCAACCGGAACACAAGTTCCTAGTACCTGGTAACTTGTGATGTCGCTAGTTTAACAAATTATCAAAATAGTTGCTTATTATTAGGATAGTCACCAAAGACATTCTCAAAAAACATGGTATTGGTTCACGAGGGTTGTTCAAGGGAGTCAGTGCCACCATATGGAGAAACGGTTTATTTAATATGGTCTATTTCGGATTTTATCATTCAGTGAAAGGCTGGTTGCCTGTCGATGAGGTAAGACTTTCAAGTGATAAATCTTTCATCTTCTACTATACCGATTCATCGCCTATATATAAACGTCGCAGTTTTGGGCAGTTCATTTTTATTCAAATTTTTGTGACAATACGAGTACCTAATATTTACTTAATTTTTCTTTATTTTTTGAATGTATATAAATTGTGTCTATTTTTCCAGGATCCGCTTCAAGAGTTCTTCCATAAAGTTTTAATAGGTTTCATATCTGGCAGTCTAGCGTCTTGCATCAATATACCATTTGATGTTGCAAAGTCTCGTATTCAAGGCCCTCAACCACTCGCAGGACAGATCAAATACACCGGCACTTTTCAAAGTTTGTCGTTGGTTTATAGAGAAGAGGGGTGAGTAGTTTAGGCGGCAGTGTGTATGTTGCTTTACTTTTTTTTTACAGGTTTTTGGCTTTATATAAAGGTCTGGTACCAAAAGTGATGAGACTAGGTCCAGGCGGCGCCATTATGCTCGTTGTTTACGACTACGTTCACTTGTTGTTGACTGCCAAATTTGATACTCATTAATTTAAGTGTAAAAATCGATTCATTAACTTCGCCGTAGCTGACACGGGTAATCGATACCATTTACCTCCTTTTTTATTGTAGGCATAACTTTTATTCTAAGAGAATAAATAACTGCTGTGAATAAGTGTTTTCATTTATCAAATTTCTGAGTTGATATTTATAGATATTTAGGTAAGTTTTGGTAAAAAAAGATTCCAGAAAAATTGATGACAAATATTATGATGGGAAAAGAGGGCAAAGGACAATAAGTGCAGTAGGAAAATGAAAAGACAGTAAGAAGTAAGTGACTTTTAAAAAATTCACCAAATGTCAATATTTGTATAGGGTCCTAACCACAAGATCCAAACTCCCTAAAAATTGACTTCCAAAAATCGTAAGCGTAGCTTGAAGACATTCGTAAGATTGGGTAGAAGGTAGAACCTCCAACATTTAAAGCTGGAGGTCAACCACGTGCTTGGAGTCCTTGTTATCTTTGGGAAGACTGGGATTTAACTATACTAAAATGTTTTATTGCAAAAGTGAAGCATCTTATCATCTCTTGACCAGCTCCCTTGGGATAAATGAAAGACTTATTTATGATTCTGCTTCTGAAGCTCTTCAACAATTAAAGAGCCACTATAATCAGTGCGAAGGTGTTCAATCAAACTTACGATTTACTATGTCTGGTGACATAAAGAGAAGATATCTATGGACGATTGGTGGGTAGAAACAGACAAAAGAAAGACTATTAAACAATTAATAATAATTTTTGTAAAAAAAAAAATAAAGTACGTACATTTTTGAAGACTCCTTGTGCAATCAATCGCGAATAGTTTTTTGGTCCTTCGATTCATGAACCTTACTAGGCAATTTTAACGCAACACAAATATACGCTCGAACTTTAGATTCCAATGGTGACAACAAAGCAGTAGATAGAATGTTAACGATCATTCCCAGGATATTTTGTTACGAGACTTCAATGCTCGAGTCGGCAGAGACTCGGTACTCTGGAAAGGCACCATTGGGAAGGAGGGAATGCATATGCGAGAGTTACATGATCAAAGCGATCCTATGAAGAATACTTTAATGTTGAGAGGAATGAGGAAGAAAGGATAAATGTACCTAACCAAAAATTCAGTAATATATTAAATAAATGGCGAATTGACTTTGTAATGTCATTAAACTTTTTCATCAAGTGTAAATGTTATCTGTACAGGGTTGGCCAATTTGGACACTTTTAATGGGAAACGTCAATTTCTGAGCGAGATACAAAAAAATTAAATCTCGATTGGTGCAAACCGCATTTTGATATCTTCAACCGTTTAGCCGCTAAAGGGCGATTCTCGATTTTGAGCAATACTGTGAAACCTACTTCAACGCTTTGTTGTTTATGAAAATAATCGATTTCCGTAAAAACTTCCATTTTACACTTTTAGGGGCAGAATTCAGTGACGTTCTCAGTTTTTTTTTCTATTTGGCCCCGATTTCGAGTTAGGTACTGACCAAAGACCGATTTTTTTCAATAATACTTCCTTTATAGTAATAGCTCATTGGAAAGCTCTGCTTTTGCTGAAGTCAATAATATAAAGTTCGATAGGTTTATCTCTAACAGTTTTCGAGAAAAATAGCTATTTACATACCATAGGAGGAAAATAGTGCTTTTCCTCCCGTGGATAATTTGATGCACGACGCGGAGCAGAGGGCATCAATTTCCAAGGGCGGAGAATTATTTTCGTCCGGAGGTGTATGTGGTTTTTTCTACTGCCTTTGACAACATTCAATGGGCCACCATCGACTATCGATATGTGAAGAACAGTGTTACCAGATTGGGGGATTTTCCCCCAAATTTGGGGGATTTTCAATTAGATGGGGGAAAATCTGGGGGATAGTTTTTTCTGGGGGATTTTTTGGGGGTAAGAATTGTCGGGTATATTTCAATGAATAAAACTAAAGTAAAAAATGTATTAAAACAACTGCGCCATCTATTTGTTCAATCAAGTACCAATAAAAAAGATACAGTTTGCTTCTTCTCCAGTGTTGCCAATGGGCGGATTTTAATCCGATTTGCGGATTTTTTTTGGACGATCGGATTTTGTAATTCAGAGGATTTTTTGCGGATTTTTTTAGATAAAACGAATAAGGGCATGAAATCTCTGCAAAGCACAAAAAGCCAACATGGCTGTTTTGAGATTATTTTTTAAACTATCCAAACTTCTTGGTACAACTGTACTTATCTGTTTTGTCACCAGTCACAACGTTTTATTTCATTTGTCATTTGTCAATTGTCATTTTATTTTTGGGATTAGAAAAATATAAACAAATAAAAAAGTGGTAAGGGTATGAGTTTTATTTTAAAATATTCAACGTATTTGTCTTTTTTTTTGCAATTATGAGTCCAGAATAAATCTATATTTATTTGGGGGATTTTAGTTGACAAACAATGATTTTTGGGGTATTTTTGAAATCCTTTGGGGGAAATTAGTTATAACCATCTGGCAACCCTGGTGAAGAACCGCGTCGGACAACACCTATGAAAATATCAAATACTTAATTTTGAAAAAATATACCTAATAAGCATTAGCGACGATTGAAAACCTTTCAGTTTAAAAGGACATAGTACACTTCACCGACAAGCTAAAAATGATTGTTTCAAACAGAGATATGGGAGAGTTGGTTAGAATAGAATAAGGGTCCATCCTGCGCAACTGGCCGAATTTGATGGACCGCCATTTTTATCACTTGTCAAATTCGGATTTGAAAAAAAGGTTATGAACAATTCATAACTCTAAAAATAAGCAGAAATAACAAAAACAAATCTTTTAAAACACCACTTTGATAAAAATATCTCAGAAAAAGCAGGAAAAATCGCCAACAACAATCTGTAACCGACCCAAAAGTAAGGTTATGTTGTGAAAAATCTGACAGATTGAAGTTGTCAACGTAAAAACTAATAGCCTATTCGATTGGTAAATTTAATGGACATTGAGTGTATTTTCATCCTTTTTTATCAACCTGTAGAAAAAAAAGACATAAATGAAAAAAACTGCACTAGCTACCAATCGGAAACGGGAAACGGCATAAGTAAGAAGTGATAAAAATAGCGGCCCCCTATGCGTTACCAATAAATCGGATGCGCAGTCGTTTAAGAGCATTTTATTTCCCTCACATATCTCTGGTTTCAAATAGAGAGTTATTGGACGTGCAATAAGGAAAGGCAGTATTTAAATTAGCCTTATTTTGACATTTACGCATGCGCATTTGGGTCTGAAAATCAGGATTCCCTTAATAAGTATACTGCTTGTCTTTATTTGTGTATGGTTAGTGCGAGGCAGTAAACTTCCCTTATTTCAATATTTGTGACATTTTTGACGGCTTTGACGTCTCGCTTTTCGACGATGACATAATTTTATTTGGAGAATTTGTTTTTTACAGTAGTTTTCCATTTTACTGTAGGTAACATCAAAAAATGGGTATCAGCAGAAATTCACAAACAAAAATAAACACTTTTTGACGTTGAAATTCATAAACATAGCTATCAGCTGTCAAAATTATGAATACAAAATAAGGTAATACTTAACACCTACTACAGTCTTCCAATAACTATTATTTTCTTGGAGAAATAGTGCTGATGCACTAATAAAATAACGTAGATCCTTAATACTGCGAGGCAGTATTTGATAGTTCCAATAACTCTCCATTGTCAAATTAACTTGTGTGCAATAATTTATTTAAACAATACACTTCTTAGCCCGACAAAAGTAGAGCAACCCTTTTATTTTTTTCAAAAAGACGGGATTTTAGTTTCAAGTAAGATCACAAACATATTTTTAAGAGACGAAAATTAGGATTATTCGGACAGCTTTGAATGTGCCAGAAGGTAAACCAATTTGTCTGGGTGTAGACGCTTTCGAGGAAAAAAGGCGTTTGGTTGACATTTCCAGGCAGTATCTTTCTCCAAAATACAGTGTATCTAAAATAATTTTATGTTTCGATGATCGTGCAGAAAAAAATTCCAAAATCTGGAAGGCCTAAAAAAACTACATTTTGGATGGATAGGAGAATCAAAGGACTTTGCCAAAGACGTCCGTCGTTGTCAGGACCAAGAATAATTGCTGAAATTCCTGAACTAGAAGTAACTGCAAGGTGCAAGGATTGTCCAACGAAGAATATAGTTGAAGCAAAGCTTTACAACAGACTTCTCATAGAAGCCGATGTATTCCGAAAAATAATGCCGTGCCAGGCTCTTTATCTGATGATAAATATTTTCTTGGGATCTAGTAAGTATATGTCATATAGAACTATGTAACTACATTATGTGACAATACAATATTCGTATTAGACTTTTGTGTTTTATTAATGACCCTGTATAAATTAAGTTGTTCGATATTCCATATTCCAATATTCCATCCAATATTTTATCATGTTTTGAAATTTTTTGTTTTCTATATTATGAAGTTTCTGTACTGTGGTCGGTCACCATATTTGAACTGAAGCGCACTTTCAAAATTTTGTTTTGTATCTGGATTATATTAAAATTTGTTAAAAAAAAGGTTAAAAGGTACATCTTTCCATTCTCTATCTAAACTGCTGGACAATTGCTTTCGAACAAGGGAAATATCGCCTAACTTTCAAGATCGATATTTTTGGAACCAGACTAGATATCGGCCTTCGATTTTCACGGGCAGACCCAGACAGATTGACTTTTTGTAAAAAAAATTGCTATTTTGAATTTTTTTTAAATGTCTACTTTTTTTATACAGGGTGTTAAAAGAGTCCATGATTTTCATTCCAATTTTGAATGTGTGTAACTTTCTCAGATAATTTTTAAATTTTATTTCTATGCGGCGTTTTAATCAATGATCTTCTGCAAAAAAAGTAATTTCTCAAAATTTTTACACCTGCCTTAGTTTTAAAAATATCGACTTTTTTTCACAACCTTCACTTTTTTCAACTTTTACGCATCTAAACCATCCTGTACAATAAATCTTGCATCTTATGCTGCTGTTTGATATACCCCACGATATCCCGGTTTATTTTCAATGAAAAAAAAAATACTAAAATAATGTGGTGTCCAGTAGCGTACTAATAATCGCCCATTTTCGGAATAATTTATTAATGGCTCAC